GGTAAATCAATACGTTACACGCCAAAACGTTACATTTGTTTGGATTTAATTTCACAAGTAATGTCAACAGTCTATGAAAAATAAGAAAAGCTAATCCAAATTTCAAATTAAAAGCTGATTATTTCAAAGGCATACTTACATCCCTGGTGACAGAATTCTGATCCATACTGACTTAGTCTAGTCTAAGTCTAATTAATTTGAATACATTCGCCAAAAACAGCTACCTTCTATCTAGCTGAGCTTTCAAGTTAGAGCAGGTCAATCAATAAAAGGTTTTAGGTGCTCATACATTATTGCATTTGCACAGAGTTAAAAAGTTTTTTGCGCGTGAGCTTTTGAAATCTTTGTTCAGTAATTAATTATATAGGTTTAGAAATACAGACGCGATAATGTTAATTTTTGTTTTTTGAACATGTATATATTTTTTTGAAGCGATAAATTTGGAAGAGCGATTGTTTTAAAGCTTATGAAACATTAGTAGGCCAGCGTAATCACAGATCATTCCTTTCCAGTTATTTGATTAAATTTAATTCAAGCTTTACCAAATAACGTCTCAAAAATATATTTATGGAGCTACTTATGCTTCTGAAATTCTGTATAAGACGTGTTTATTAGAAATCCTTCACAAGAGAAGTTATTGTCGTCGTCTGTGAGGCTGCCGCTGGGACCAAAATCTAGGGACAGCAACCTGAACAGGAAATTGATCATAATTTGTTGTGATATAAGGAGCTTGGTGGCCTAGTGGCGACCAATTTTGCTTATTGAGCAGAAAATTATGTGTTCTATCTCAAGCTCCTTTACAATATAGAGTTGTTGTGTAAATCGGATTTATTCTTGATATTAAATAAAGTGTCTTGAAATTCGGTTAGAGGAACGAGTACACAAAATAAATAATACATATTAGAGATTTTGGAAAGATGTGTTGATCGGAAATCTAAAAAAAATGCTTTTCAAGAGTAGTTGTTTTTTTTAAATAAGGAACTTAGTGGCCTTGTGGTGGCCGATTTGGCTTTCTGAGCAAAAAAATCATGGGTTCAATCCCAAGCTCCTTTACGTTAAAGAGTTATACTTTAAACCGGGTTTGTTTCATAATATGATGTAAAGTGTATCGAAATTCGATTAGAGGAACGAGTACGCAAAAGTAATAATATTTGAGTTTTAGGAAAGACGTGTTGATCGAGAATCTTTATCAAATCCTTCTCAAGAGCAGTTGTTGTGATCGTTGGCGAGGTCGCCGTCGGGATTAAAACCCAATAACAACAATTTCAACGTTAACTTAATTATAATTGTTTTGTAATATAAGCAGCTCGTTGGTCTAGTGGCGACCGCTTTAACTTACTGAGCAGAAGACCGTGGGTTCAATCGCACGCTCCTACTCCCTATTGAATCTTTAGGACATCAATTCAGCATATCGTTTACCAAAAGGAATCCTGCTGCAATCCCAACCCTTTTATCCAACATCCCAGTGAGTTCCTGTGGAAGTGCAGAGGTGTTCTCGGCTTTCATTAAAGCGAATATTACGTCAACATATTCCTACCCATTATTTTTTTGACCAGCATTGCCTCGTTTTAGATCACCAGTTTTTACACATTTAGGATGATTTCTAGTCCCAATCAACGTCTATTGATTCTCTGTGTAATTACAGCTGATCTGGCAATAACAGAGTAGCAACCGTGGGCGGTCAATCATGCTTATGTTCATGCGCATTAATATCAGTGTTACGATCAAACCCATTCAAGATTCCTGGTAAATACACCTGCGAAGCATACCTTCAACTAGAAGTCTTCCAATCAGAGCTCTGCAGATGGAGGGAGAGAGTAGCGTTTCGGCCATCATCAACAAATATAAAATAATTAATAAATAGTTTATTTCAATTTCTTCGAGTTGATCAGTGCTCGGAGTGACGCGAGAATGAGAGGAGGGACGAAGAAGCGTTCCACAAGTCTCCAAAACGGTCCTATTCAGGGTCACAAACCACCAAATATGTTTGACACGACTAGGGTCACATGAACTGAAAAAAAAAATAATCATGTTAGAGATATACGGGAAAATGAACTCTGATAAACTATTACACACCGGAAGAAATCAACGGATGATATGATAATATCGGCAATCTTCAACGTTTGATCAAAATATGTATCAACGTAGTCCTCCGTCAATAGGGCGTACAACCTATCGCTTTAGTTTTTTATAAGGCGCTAAATCTCAACTCAATAATTTAAATAATTTAAACTTTTTGCAAGCTTACTGAGCGATTGCGTACCGATCCACAACTCAATGAAAAGTTTTCTTCAACTCTCCACAATTTTTCTTATGCTTCCCTCAGTACAAAAAGCTACTGCCATCAGCAAAGCAAACAACCATAGCACCATAACAGACTGAATTTACCTTTGGGTAAATTATTTTAAGTTTGTCACCGTAGTTACGATGTGAATGTTATCCGCCATTACGATGGAACTGAATCCATACGCAGCGCCCTTCGCACATCATCATCACCATCCTTTCCATGCCATTTATCGTCTTTTATGTTTAACGACTCTGATGTTATCATCGGCCGGTGTGCGTTCAAAGAGTCTGTCCACTATCCAAAGATCATCTGCAATTGGAGCTGTCGTCCATCAGCCCTGTCACGGCAGCCAGTGACACTTCAAACGACATGCTAATTATGCTCACCTTCTTCCCTAAGCAGCATTATAATAACTCCAAGAAAGAGCATCGCCGCACGGATGCCCTTTTTATGACAACAATTTTACGAGCCACAATGAAAGCCCCCGAAATTCGAGGGGAAGATAAACGGTTTGCATAGTTAGCCAAATTACTCAATTGTGCTTGCGCTCGGAACGAACGAATGATGACCTAGTTGCATGGGATTTATTCTTTTTTCATGGGCCCGTCCCTAAACCTGAACATCGGCCTATGTAGGTAGGTAGGTGCGGAGATTGCGGTTGGGAATTGCATGCGCACCCGCGTAACAGCTGATGTTACCAAAATCAGAATCATCAAATTTTCTATGCTCCATTGTTTCCAGCCGAAACTGCGGTTCGTATCGTTTGTTGAGTATTGTTGCAGCGATTTACGAGCGATCCATGGTGGCTACGGTTGTTATGCAGCAGAAGAGCAGGTGTGAACATTTCATTGATTCATATTATTATTAGCGTGAAATTTGAATTTAATGTTTAAATGTAGATTCAGCACACTTTCGGGTTGATTGGGGATGATAATTTATCGTTATTCTGTTGATGCTCGAGGGAATGTTTATAATGAAATACCGGTCTCCCTTGGTTGTCAATTACAAATAATCGTTGCCTACCAAGCGTAGGGGAGATGGGGGTAAAATGCCCATTCAAAGGAAGATCCCCGGTTAATCCACAAAACTATTCGATTAATAAATGCTATACCATCAATTTGTTGGATTAGGCTATTAACTAGATATTACAATTGATATGCTTAACGAACATACACAAATCTTGTTTAAATTGGTGAAATTGAAAGGCCTACAAAAACCTGTTTTGAAAACACTGAGGGGCTAAATGCATGCGCATATTGATTTCAAGCCACGGAAGCATACATTTAGGCTTTATATTTGCTCTCTTAGCTGAATATCAAAGGTTCACGCCTGATGGTTATGCTTTGCACACTATAGTTCGGGAACGCATTATACTCCACTTTGAGTAACAAATTGTAACGTTGAAAATAACTACTATTTAATACATTTGTAAGAATATCTTTCTGGGATTTTCTCAGTCACATTCTGTCTGTAGTTTATATTTTATTTCTTTCATGTAGGGGAAATGGCTAATGTTGGCCTATGGATCTAAGATTGGGCCCATCGCTAAAAATCTGCTATTTATCAATTTTAACTAGATGAACGGAAATTTAGTCGATTGCTGAATTTATGTGTGGGCCCAAATAAGGGTTATTTAGGCCGACATTACATTCATTTCCCCTATTTGATATTTTCATCGTTACAATTTGATACTGCGTAATTTGCCATCCCCGAATTGCATTATGGAAAGCATAACCATCAGGTGTGAATCTTTACATTCAATAGAGAGAACGCACAGCAAAAGCCTAAATGCATGCTTCCGTGGCCAGATTTATTTTGCCTTGATTTGTTTTTTGTCGATCTTGTTTTCCATGCTGAGCACTAATACTCCCACACCTGGAACCTACCTATAGACCCATCAACTCATGAACCGGGGACCAACGGCTTTACTTACTTAAGGAAGGCGTGATCAGAGATATTATATCTCAGAACAGGCGGCGCCGACTGAGATTGAACCCATGTCTGCTGGGGTGAGAGGCAAGTTGCATGAAATCAGTATGTGCATTTTGCTCATCAAAGTTTTGAGAATTGGTATTTGCGGGCCTTTCAAATTTCACCAATTTTAACAAGAATTTATCAATTATAATTGAATACATCAATTGAAATATCTAGTCAATAGTCTCATCCAACAAATAGATGGTATTGCACTTAAATATCGATTCTCTTTGGGATTCATTGAGGATTAAACGAGGATCTTCCTTTGCAAACGGCGGGAAATCCTGTCAGTTACGGGACTTTGAAAGTATGTATTGTGCAGAATATGTAAATTTTTTTATTTTTTTTAATTCTTTATTTAAGAGATTTTTAGCCTTAGGCTAGTTCATCTCTAGTCAGTTGTTGAGGTCTCAGAAGGAGAACCTCCTACGGAGTTGTTGGACATAGTAGGCTTAAAATGAGTTTCTCCTGACAATGCCTGGGGGGAACACCTTCATGAGGGCCAGAAGACTCATCCCATGTGATGCCCCTCCGGCTGCTGAGGCTGTAAGGTGACAGCTCTCCTGGCTTTTCACGAAGATGACAACAAGTTCAAAATGAATAACACAAAACTGAACGAGACGACACCGTGACGAGGTCCAAAGGCTCATCCCGTGCGGTGCCGTCCCGACAGTCAGAAGAAATTAAACATATAAACAAATGAACGAGTATACAAACGAATATAACAGCTATGGCTTTCCTAGATCTCATGGTATAGGTTAGCTTCCCTGAGGAAAACTAGCAGGGCGTCTGCAGCGGCTGAATCCTCTCCGAGTAGGTTCCGGATGCTGGAGGTGATCCCATAGGATTCCCTGAGGTCCTGGAATTCAGGACAGATGCAGAGGACGTGTTCAACGGTGGCCGGGAGATGGCAGATGGCACAGCTTTTGCGGAAGGGACCTCCGCCGCCGAAGTTATAGTAAAACCGACAGTGGCCAGTCCTCAGCCTTGAGAGCACTCTCTGATCCCGGAGGTTTGGGAGGTCCGTCCATGCCTCCGTGATTCCTTTGATCTTCCGGATGAAAGGCTCTCGAGTGCTGAACCACTGGTCGGCCCAGGCTTTCTGTACGGATGTTTTGATCCATCGCCGGAGATCTGGAAGGGGGACTTTGTCCGTGAATCTCGGACCCGCCGGTCCAGTTCCAGCGAGTTGGTCTGCTGCTTCATTACCAGGTATTCCGCAATGACTGGGGATCCATGTAAAAATGGTGCTGCTCGGGGCGTATTCGATGGTAGCTTGAATCCACGGGTGGGTGGGAACTGCTGAAGCTAGCTCTTGGATAGCACTGAAGGAATCAGTTAGTATTACGATTGGCTGGTTTGCTGGTGACGTGGCCGCATGGAAGATTGCGGCCGCTTCGGCCGAGTAAACGGAGCATTGTTGTGGTAAGCTGCTGCTAGCGAGTATGCCACTTCCGGATACTCCGATGCCAACGCCCGTGTTGGATCGGGAACCATCGGTGTACCGGTGAGTGTGTTCGGCGTAATGGGTTCGGAGGCGTTCGATTACTGTGCGACGGAGGGCCGCGGAGTTGTCTCCTGCTTTAAATCGATTTTTTATGTGATAGTCAATATGAATGCTGGAAGAGAGCCAGTTCTTCTCTCCGTGCCAGTGGGTCCTAGCCACTGGGGGGAGGTCAATGCTGGCGATCGTCTGCAGGATTCTGTCCCTCTCGTCGAGGAGGAAGATTCTGCCATTTCCTGCTGTCTTGGCGGCGAAGGATGCAGCTTTGAAGATGGTAGCGTTAATGATGCGGTACCGAAAGGGCAGAACCCCTGCTTCAACACAAGCGGAATCAGCGGGGGTGGAAGGTAGAAGGCCAGAGATTATCCTGATGCTGCTGTTGAAGGTTGGACCGAGGATCTCAACCTGCTTCTCAGAGTTGATACACGTGAGCTCTGTTCCATACAGCAGCCTGCTATCGATGATAGCTTGCGCTACCCGGAAGCGAACTGCCCGATTATTAGTGCGATGGGGCCTGGAGATGGTCCGGATCAGGTTAACTCTGCTTCGGCAGTCTTTTTTGACCTGGTTGAAGTGCGGCACGAAGGAGAGGGTGCGGTCCACAAGTACCCCCAGGATACGAATGGATTTCTTGATGGGGATAGCCTGGTCGCCAATCTTAATGGCGGTCCCGTTGACCCGGTGTCTTGAAGGGCAGACGTGGCATCTGATGCTTTTTTTGGCAGAGAGCTGATAACCGGCAGTTTGGGCCCATTTTACTACGGCTGAGACCGCGGCTTGCGTGAGGTTCCGGGTGCGTTTTGTGGTGGGCCCCGTTACCACGATGAGGACATCGTCGGCGTACACAAAGATGCGGACGTTCTTTGGTAACTGGCGGAAGATTCCGTTCATCGCGATAAGGAAGAGTGTGACGGAGATCACTGATCCCTGGGGGACCTATATGTAAAAAAGGAGGGACTTCGGATGTTAACCTAAATGCATATATGGTGCAAAATAGATGGTTCTTCGTCATACTGCGGTCGTTTCTAGGACACAAGCTTTTATTTTTGACGTAGGACTACGCCTTTGATTTCTATATGGGGGTACACTTTGTGAAAACCGAAAATGGAACATGTAACAAATTAAGAAAGATTTTGAACGTTAATAACTCAGCTGCCCCTGGTCCAATTTCAATAAGTTTATCACCAATCGATCAGAAATATGGCTACGGATCGATAACAATGCTTCCGAATGTTGATTTTCAACAAGAAACTATTGAAAAACTGGTGAATGTCCAGCATTGTTCAAAAGCGTCGAATTAACAAATCCACCAATTACCTACATGCATATGCTGCTTCCCCAGCACAGTTGTCAGAGAGTAGTAAGTTGAAGAAACAAGTCGAAGTGGCATTCGCCTCCGATCCTCGGGCGCGTGCGAATAGGGAGGATGGAATTGAGTAATATTTTGCACACTCATCGCCATACTCAGAACCAAACGCAAATTCTTCGAGATAATCACCATCCGTCGTCTGGCTCGCCGTGGCGGTGTCTGACGTATCTCCGGTCTGATTTACGAAGTGTGTTGAAGGAGTTCCTGAAAAATGATATCCGTGATGTTGTCCCCTACACTAAACACGCCAAGCGTAAGCGGCCATGGATGTCATCTACGTTTTGAAGTGACAGAGACGTACTCTGTTTGGTTTCGGAGGTTAAATCATCAACAACTTTGGCAACAAAACCAAGTCACCAAGCTTATTACAGTAAAGAGTAGGAATAGAATGCATCTGCCTGTTTGTCCATATTCAGAACCAACGACCACACAAAATGCTCATGTAATCAACCTGAAAGCAGGGGTACAAAGTATTTTGATCAACCTTGATCAACTTTGAATCGCCACGGCCGGATATTTTCGATGGAAGAAGCAACAATCTAGCATCTAATTCGACGAAGACGGCAGGAAACATTTGAGAAGCCGAGTTATTTACGAAAGAGAGTGTCGATGAAGAGAATCGATAGGACCTATTGAAAAGTGACGCGAGATTTGTTTTCCGTACTGAGCTCCAATTCTACCGACGCCATGGAGGCAGCTCCCACACCTGGACCCTACAAATCGACCCATCAACTCAACCGGGGACCAACGGCTTTACTTCCCAAAGGAAGGTGTGATCAGAGATGTTATGCCTTAGAACATGCCGGTGGCGCCGACTGAGATTGGACCCAGGCCTGCTGGGGTGAGAGGTAATCACGCTAACCACCGGCGCCGATATCTTTCAAGGTGATATCACGGCGATTGAGATCGACCCAAATTTGTGTTTAGTTATCTCAGAAATGAGAAATAAAGTGCAGGAACTCAGCGATGAGTAAATTTGTCTCATGTTTTCCCACGTTTTTCCAGGATTTTCCAGGGAAAAATTCCAGAATTTGAGAAAAGTTTGGTACTACTCCGAGACTGAATAACATTTTCGTCAATTTCCTCATTTTCAGGCAGATTTTTTAGGTTTTCCACAGGAAACCATGAGACAAATTTACTCATCGCTGAGTTCCTGCACTTTTTAAGATTATGAGTGAACTAAACTCAAATTTGGGTCGTTCTCATTCGCCGTGTACGCAAAAGGAAAAGAGCAAGTGTCGCTACTTGATAGCAAACTAGTCATAATGGGAGGAGTCTTCGTAGCTTTTATACCACTTGGTTGCATATCATTCTGCTTTAACCTGAAAAGATTTAAAAGAGCGCTGCAGTACAGTTCGGTCTTTGCTCGCTCTGTCGAGTTGTTCTAAAGTTTCTAGTTTGTTCCAAACATTCGCAGTTTAATCGCGTCGTCAGTAGTGTCGGTCGCTTCGTGTGATGGGAAGACAGCGCTCCCGGAGCAGGCTCCGAGAGAAAACGGAGAAGAAGAACAGCGGTGAGGGTAGCTTGAGTGTACCTATTTCGAATAGGTACGCTACTCTTCCCACCGATGTAGGGAATACCACCTCAGCCACGGTGAAGCGGTCAAAGAAGAGGAAGAAAAATCAAGGCCAGTCCGATGGTGCGAGTGGACGGGACGATGCCACCGCGACGAACGTCAGCGTCATTGGTGATTTCGGCGACGCCGTCGACAACGAAACTGCTGCCACCCCGAGTGCAGCAAAAATGAAGCTTCCTCCACTGGTGGTGAAGCAAGTCCCACTCAACACGCTGATTGGCGATCTTTCATCGCTGGGCGTTGCAGCTGAGTTTAAGCTCGGCAGGATCGGCACCAAGGTGATGCTCCGAACAAAAGCGGAGTACGAAGTGGCCGTGAAATATCTGAAGGATACCAAGGCGGAATTCTTCACGCACGACATCCCCGGTGAGAAGCCCTTCAAGGTAGTCATCAGGGGTCTACCAAACTTCGACCCCAAGATGGTCGAAGCTGAAATCAACCGGTACAAGCTTGCCCCAATCGCTGTCTTCCGAATGCCAAGGAGAGACGAAAACGTGAAGACGTACCCGGATTGTCTTTTCCTGGTGCACTTCCAGAAAGGGACGGTGACGCTCAATGCGCTACAAGCCATCCGATCAATCTGCTCCATCATCGTACGGTGGGAGCCATACCGTGGCGGCCATCGTGACGTAACGCAGTGTATGAGGTGCCTCAATTTTGGACACGGTACCCGCAACTGCAACATCAAGCCACGCTGCAGCAACTGCGCTCAAGAACACGCCACTTCCAACTGCCCTGCGGATGGAGCCGTGGCGATAAAATGCGCTAACTGTGGTGGTGCACATCAAGGTTCCGACAGACTGTGCTCCAAACGCGAGGACTTCAAACGCATCCGAAAGCAGGCGTCAAGCAACAATCAACCAGGACGCAAGAAGGACAAAACCCCAGCATTCAGGACGGAGGATTTTCCGCCTCTTCGTGCTCCCCAGCAAAGGCAAGCGAATTCGCGGGTGCAACCCGCCCCCCCTCAAGAAGCTTCCGGTGATTTTGCTGGCCAAAGCTCTCCATCCCCCCCTGGATTCTGGAGACAACCAACAGCGCAAAACAACAACCCCGATTTGTTCTCAGCGGATGAACTGATGGAAATTTTCGTCAACATGTCCGGTGCTCTTCGTAAGTGCCGCAATAAGCCCGAACAGATCCAGGTGCTCGGTAAGTTCATCATCCAGTATGGCGTCTAAACCGCTAACTATCGTCACCTGGAATGCTTGCTCTGTAAGAGCAAAAGAGATTGAGCTTGCCGACTTCCTCCGCAAGCACAGCATCGACGTGGGCCTTCTAACCGAGACCCATCTAAAGTCCGGCGACAGCTTCTGGGTGCCTGACCACAACATTATCCGGCTTTATCGCACCAGCTCCAGGGGGGGTGGTGTTGCGGTCGTCGTCAAGAAAGGAATAAAATACCACACTCTGTCCCATATCCGCACCTCTATCATCGAGGCCCTTGGTGTGGAGGTGGAGTCGTCGACTGGATACGTCCAGTTCATCGCCGTCTACTGCCCTCGACAGTGTGCCGCCAGCAGTGGACTAGCGGCAAAATTTAAGAAGGACCTGTCCACCATCACCCGTACCGGTTCCCGCTTCGTTGTTGGAGGAGATCTGAATGCTCGTCATGAGGCATGGCGGAACTACCAGCAGAACCAGAATGGTCGTCTGCTGTTCGACCATTCGCAGCATGGGCTGTACTCCGTTTGGTTCTCGGACGAGCCAACATTCATCTCACCGGCAGGCAATCCATCGACGCTAGACCTGTTTCTTTCAAATACCGGCTTGTCCAAGCCGGTAGCCTTAAACGAACTCAGCTCCGACCATCAACCGGTGGTGGCTGAACTGGGATACAACATAGCTGCTGCTCCAAGCCTGCGCAAGGACTACCATCGCGTAAACTGGGCCCAGTTTGGACGCGTGGTAGACAGGCACATCATCGACAACCCGCCGCTTGACTCCGTGGAGGACATCGACCGAGCGTTGGAAGTACTCCACCAAGCCATAACCGTGGCTGACGAGGCGTGCGTCCGACGAGTTCCAGTGAGGGGTAAGTTTATTGCCATTGATTCCCACACCCAACTCTTAATTCGCCTGAGAAATGTTCGTAGACGCCAGTTTCAGAGGACTGGAGATCTAGCGAGGAAACGTGAAATGGCCAATCTGAACAAGGAGATTGCTTCCAGAATGGTCTCACTCCGGAACGAAAGTTTCGGGCGGCTTGTCCAGAATCTGGACGACCGCTCCAGACCATTCTGGAAAGTTGCCAAGGTCTTAAAGACGCACCCTAAGCCCATTCCGCCACTAAAAGATGAAAATGATGACGATCGGCTCATAATCACCCCTCAGGAGAAAGCAAATGCGATTGGTGAGCATATTGCCAAATCGCACTTGCTTGGCTCCAACATCCAAAGTCCGCTCGAAGTTCAGGTTGAGCAATGCGTACTCAACCTTGATTCCTCCCCTTGTGCCATCCCTCCGGAGGATAGAATCACAGTGGAACAGATTTGCTCAGCGCTGAAATGCACCAAAAACATGAAGGCCCCTGGGTTTGACGGAATATTCAACCTAGTGTTGAAAAATCTCAGCATGAAGGTTCACTCTCTGCTGGCTGCTGTCTTCAACAGATGCTTGGAACTGCACTACTTTCCGAGTATCTGGAAGACAGCGAAAATCATACCTATCCGCAAACCCGGGAAGGACCCAACGCTAGCTTCAAGCTACAGACCAATCAGCCTCCTTTCAGCGCTGAGCAAATTGTTCGAGAAACTCATTCTCAATTGTTTGCTCAAGTTTGTCGAGGAAAATAACATTCTCCTTCCGGAACAGTTTGGGTTCAGAAAGGGGCACTCCACCAATCACCAGCTAGTGCGGGTGATGAATAACATCCGAAGTAACAAAGCTGTATCCAAGTCCACAGCCATGGCATTGTTAGACGTTGAGAAAGCGTTTGATAATGTC